AAAATAAATTAAATAAATTACACTAAAAGACAAGAATTTTTAAATAGTTAGTTTTACTACTAATATCAATTTTCTTTTCAAGTTTTTATGATATTTTCGTATTTATATTTTATTTAAAAATAAAAATATTATCATTTTTTTAAATAATATTATAACATCGATTAAGATAAAAAATAAAAAAAATATCATAATCGAGATATATCTCATTGTATTACACGAATGTCCTCTAAATTTATTAGTAAAATATTTATTTTATTAAATAATTAAATCACGAAAAAAATAAAATAAAAAATGGGTACTTTCTAAACGAGCCGCTGAAGAAATAAAAGAAACCACCTGAACTATTGGTTCAAAACATGTACCTGTCTCGGTTTTCCACCCAACCAAAGATCCACCTTGATCTCACCGTCGTTCCACAATGTCCTTCGCCGTTAACCCACCGCCGGCCGTCCGATCCTTCCCCTTCTCTCGATCACCCATTGGCCGCACCCCACGTGTCTCCATGGTCGTGCGTTCCGGCGCCGGTGTTCCAATCGCCACCGCCGCTGCACTCCCTATCTTGACGAAATTGCAAAACGACTGCGCCACCCCTCTCCCCGTCCTCCGCCACGTTGCCGATGCCATGGCTACTGATATGCGAGCCGGCCTCGCCGTTGACGGCGGCAGTGATCTTAAGATGATCCTTAGCTACGTTGATTCTTTGCCAACTGGGTATGTTCCTTTGATTTCGAATCTGATCGATTGTTGACTTTCTTTGACTATGGCTGTTAATTTCTTTAGACATTTCTTAATGCTGGTCATGGATGATCTATACTATAGGCAGCAATTCATTGCGAAAGTAACTGATTTCTTTAATATGTGCCATTATGTTGACAATCAGAATGTAATTACGACTTTTAAACCCCCAAATCGTCCATATTTGACTTTTGAATGTCAAAATTAGAAAATCTATCGGTAATTAAAGAGAATTTTGTATGAATGAAGGAATGAAAGAGGGTTGTTCTACGCATTGGATCTCGGGGGTACGAATTTCCGAGTTCTTAGAACTCAATTAGGTGGAAAAGATGATCGGGTGATCGCCACAGAATGTGATCAAGTTTCAATCCCACAAGACTTGATGTTTGGCACTTCTGAGGTCTGCGTTTTTTATCGTAAAAATCCGCTATCGAGTTTGTTGTTCAGTTCGATTTTACAAGTGTTTGTTGTTCAACATTATACATAAACATGGTTTAATGGATTTGTAGGAACTTTTCGACTTTATCGCTTCTGCATTAGCAAAATTCGCACAGAAAGAGGGCGGAAAGTTTGTGCTGCCGGATGGTAGAAGTCGAGAGACGGGGTTTACTTTCTCTTTTCCGGTGAAGCAAACCTCCATTGATTCCGGGATACTGATCAAATGGACAAAGGGTTTCGCAGTCTCGGGAACGGTTGGTATTTCTTTATTTACGTCATTTGATTACGAATATTTCCATGTTTGGAAATAGTAAACATAATGTGAAACGATAAATAACGCTTGAGGAAGAGTTCTTGTAAGATCCACCGAGCTCGTTTTACGCTTTTCATGCCACGAAACCTCTTTCATAAGCATCGTTCATCATGTGTCATACCTTAGTCTCCACGGGCTTAACCCACGAGAAAAAAAGGTGGACATTTTTACAGAACGAGTACCAACATGCCCCTAGCACAAAATTTCCTCCTCCATGGGTCGGTATAGTGGGGGGCCAAATGCCCCTGGGGCATGCAATTTGCTTCCCCATCTATTTCCTCTGCTTTTGGCAAATTGGTTACTTTTACTTGACATACTTCATTAAATAATAAAGGAAAATCTGTTGTATTCTTTATACTAAAACAATCTGAATGGGACCGTTATAGTGGGGGCGCTCTCGAGAGGGCGATGTCATGCCTTTTTTTTGCAGAATGTGTAATACCTAAGATAGTAGTGCGCTGATTCTATATATAACGTTCGCATTCTCTCAATTGACTTGTGTTTCAGCCCGGGAAGGATGTTGTCGCTTGTTTAAATGAAGCTATGAAGAGACAAGGGCTCGATATGCGGGTGTCGGCCTTGGTACAACCCGTTGCATTGTATTACACATAGTTCTGTTGTGTGTAGTAGTAAATCGATCTCTCAAGTGTCTGTGTCGTAAATGTAGGTTAATGATACAGTGGCAACACTAGCCGGAGCGAGATACTGGGATAACGATGTCATGGTTGCCGTAATTCTCGGAACGGGAACCAATGCTTGCTATGTAGAATCTGTGGACGCCATTCCGAAACTAAATGGACAGAAAACAACCTCTGGAAGAACGGTTTGTACATCATTTTATGACTTCTACCAACTGGAAGGCCGAATTTCACGATTTTTAAGTTATACGATGTCGTATTGTTTCTAGATCGTCAATACCGAATGGGGAGCGTTCTCGAACGGTCTTCCATTGACCGAGTTCGATAGGGAGATGGATGCGGAGAGTATAAACCCCGGTGAGCAGGTAAGTTTTAACTATCATTACCTTTTCCGTCTCATGAACACTCTAAGGGTGTTTGAGTTTTGCTGTTTATAAATATCATATAGTTTTTAAATTGCAATAATTGTTAGAAATTCTGGTTTTTGATTGCTTGGATTCCACTGAAAGTCGTGTAACACTTTCAGATTGAAGTATTTCGATGGTACAATCGAAATTTCAACCGGATAAAATTCAGTGATTTTCGAACAAAGAATCAATTGTTATGAATCTATGTACCCTCGAAAATCAAATGATCAATACGAAAAACGAATTCGAAAAACTGTCAAAAACGGCAGTTTCAGAACCCTAAACCGGGTTTAAAATTTCAAATTTGCCTAAGGGCTCTTCCCCTTGGACCCGCCACCGGGGGCGCTGCCCTCGGACCCCCGTCGTTTAGGGGCTTCTCCCCTAAATAAAAAAAAAAAAACTCAAACAAGTGTGCACTCCGCACCTTCCTTACTTCTTCGATATTTATCATGATTACATTGGTCAACAAAATTAATCCCATTATACAATGATGTTAGTGATACAAATCACCAACAATAATTATGTTTTTGATTTGTCGGATAAGTTATAATGACTAAATTGCCCTTACGTCTTCAATTATTATTTATGGAGACAGTTGTTTGAAAAAACGATCTCGGGTATGTATCTTGGCGAAATTGTGAGACGGATACTCGTGAGGATGGCAGAATCAGGCTCGTTATTCGGAAAGCATGTTCCCGAAAGACTAAGAACCCCGTTCACACTCGGGTAACGGATACGTTGTATTGGTTATGGTATTCATATAATTATACGATAATATTGTTGCTTAAAAGTTATTTATATTAACTGAAAATTGAATATTGAATAAAAATTGCAGGACCCCAAATATAAGTTCTATGCAGCAGGATACTTCTGAAGATCTTGAAGCTGTTGGATCCATCCTTTATGAAGCAACTGGGGTAAATTTCTCCCCTCATCCTTTGCATGTAATTTACAGAAGGGTTGTTTGGTGGTTGCTGAATGGTTTGGTGCAGAATGATTAAGTGGTCAGAATGATTAAGAGGCTTTCATGATATAGTGCAAAATGAAATATAATTGTTTGGTAATTGTTTACAATGAAATCAGGACACTTAATGAGAGGCTCAGGATACAAAATCATTTAGACGGTTTTAGAACCATTAAGAGACATATTTTTTTTTGCCAAACAAGATCCACCTCTTAATGATTCAGATGTTGCCTCTTAATGGAACTGTTAAGAGGTAAACAAACAACCCCTCATCCGTTTGATTTATTTTTTACAAAACAAATTCAACTCGATCTCAGGTGGACTCAAATTTGGATGCGAGGAAGATGGTGGTGGAGGTCTGTGACACGATCGCAAAGCGTGGGGGCCGGTTGGCTGGAGCGGGAATTGTGGGGATACTCCAAAAGATGGAGGAGGATTCTAAGGGAATCGTGTTTAGAAAGCGTACGGTTGTTGCAATGGACGGGGGTTTATACGAACACCACCCTCAGTATCGCAGATACCTTAAAGATGCGGTAACGGAGCTTTTAGGGCCGGAGTTATCGAACAATGTGGTTATCGAGCATTCGAAAGATGGATCGGGCATTGGAGCTGCTCTCTTAGCTGCTACAAATTCGATTTACGAACACTAATATATTTAGAGGGTGATTTGCGACCCGAAATTACTTATTTGATCACTTTGTATCTTATATTTGACTTTTTTTCTTTAAATCAATTTTTTGGAAAATAATAAAATAACTTGATTGGTTGATCTTATATTACAAAGAAAAAGTTGCTGTTACGATGGATTGATTGCGGACTCTTTTTTGGAAGAAAAAAAATCCGCGATCACGGATTTATTTTCTAGCGAATGATAAATGATTCTTGTTTGTACTTGCATATAGTGAAGGAGAAGACAAGTTCTCTATAATTTTTTAAAATCGAGAACAGAGGTGAAAGATCATGTGAGAAAGAGAGTTAAAGTGATAAGTGTAAAAAGGAATCTGGATCCTGATCACCATAAATCTCAAATCCATCCATGAATCGTGCTTTATACAAGGATTGATCTGATGCATCTCAAATTCATCCGGTAAGATAATATTACTTGATAAACTCTTACCCGGTTAAGCATTTGGTAAACGGTCCTTAACAAATATATCGATTTGAACCACCATTCAAATAAATATGGACAGTTATTGCATGATTTTTGACTTAAAAAGAACATTGTTATTGAGTGTGTGGGTTTATGCTCCACGGTTTAGATATGCAGATATGCACATGGGTGCGGTGACTCACCCACTTTGACAAAATTGTCGTTATGTCGTTTAGGCTGCGTTTGGTGCATGAGACGGGACATGATAGGATGAGACAAAACTTATTGTTCCATGTTTGGTATAACATGGGGACAAAATAAAAACTCACTGTCTCACGTTTGACGCGACATAAGATAGGGATAATAACTGGGACAAGGTGGGATAGTATGAGACAAAAGAGGTTTTTTCTTGTTCCACCAAAATAGGTGGAACAAGATGGGACAACAATAAGACATAAACTAAAATATATTACTAATCTACCCTACTTTGATATATAACCTTAATATGATATTTGTTTTAATGGTCATCACCGCTAGTTTCAACCGCCGCCACCACTACCGGCGGTCACCGGCGGCCACCTCCACCTCCTCTTTCATTACAACATCCTCCACCGCCTCCACAACCATTGTCCACCAAGTCCATTGCCACCTCTACCATAGTCGACCACCGACCACTACCGTCCATTGCCACCACAACTACCGCCGTTCGCCACCTTCAACTCCTCCTCTATTGTAACAACCTCCTCCACGACCTCCATTGGCCACCACCATTCATTGCCACCTCACCTCCACCATAACCACCACTACCACTATCTTCACTACATCAACCACAACCACCACTACCACCATCTTCACTACATCAACCACAACTATCTCTTCCATCGTTGTCAACCGCCACCACCACCAGAATCTACCATCTTTATGTCCTCTATAACCACCGTCGTCCACCAAGCACCACTGCCTCTACCTCCATAACTACTGTCGGCCACTGACCACTACCACCCGTTGCCACTACTTCTGTCGGCCACCACCATCTCCACCATAACCAAAACCACTTCCACCACCACCACTACTACCATCAATTATATCAAATTCTTCCTTCAAATTTGGTACAAATATGAAAACTATGTACAAATATTTAGAAATTAAATTCTTTAATTATTTACTTTATTTGTGTTAATTATAACTATTATATAATATTTAAAATCATCAAATAATTTTTGAGGGTAACTTGTCTAGTTCTGTTCCATCCAGTTATAGTCGTACCAAACAACAGACATGCTCCTGTTATGTCCAGTCTTGTCCTGTCAAGTCATGTCCCGTCCAGTTCTGTCATGTCCAGTCCTACCCTCTTGTCCAGTCCTGTCTCGTCCAGTTCTATCATGTCCAGTCCTACCCTCTTGTCCTGTCCCGTCCTGTCCAGTTCTATCTTGTTCAGTCCTGTCAAATTATGTTTGCGTACCAAACGTTACAATGAGACGATTTGATCTTGATTCATGACTTGATTTAGCATATGTTTGGTATTCATATATGATATAACGGAACAAGGTAGGATAGAATAGATCAGAACAGTACATAACAATTGTTCAGCGTTTGATAAGACAGGAATGGACATAAGCGTTTGTTACGCAGACCGGATAAGACAAGACTGGACAGGACGGGACGGGACGGGACTAATTGGGTTTTGAATCTCAAATTGGTCTAAGGGTAACATAGTCATTTTATATTTAGTCCCATGTTGTTCCACCTTTTTTGGTGGAACAAAAATTATCAAGTTTTGTCACATGAAATTTAAAAATAGTCTCATCTTGTCCTATGTATTTTTTGTCCATGGCATGCCAAACATGAGACTATTTTTTTTTTGTCACGTCCCGTCCCGTGTAGTCTGCATACCAACCGCAACAGAACACGTAAAATGATCAATTTACTCCGAATGAGTTGTTTATATATTTTAATTAATTTACATAATTTATTAAATTATAATAAAATAATTATCTATATTATATTATAAAGCATTTGATAGAAACTCTTAAAAACCATTCTTTATGCATGAAATACTGTTTATTAATGCATATTACTTAAAATTTAAGATTACAAGTAAATTGTGTGTAAGTACTAACTTCTTAAAGTTTAATTTTTGAATTCGTATAACTAACCGTAGATAAACATAATTAATTACTGGATAAACATCTCATTTTAAATATAAAAAATCTAAAATATAATTATGATAATCATTGAGTTATAAAATAATCATTATCTTTATAAAAATTATATTATTAAGTCATAACAAATTACTTCACTATTTGACCTACATTAAATTATAATAAAAACTTGAATAAAATAAATTGTACAAAAAAATGATAACTTTTAAATAGTTAATTTGATATTAATATCAATATATTTTTTTCAAAATTTTATGATATCTTCAAGATTATTTTTTATTCAAAAATAAAAACATTATCTTTCTCAAAACCACATAAACCGTATTGCATCAACAGAGACAAAAAAATAAAACGAAATATAAAAATGAAGATGTATCTCATTGCATTGCACGAATACCCTTTTAGTTTTTTATAATATATCATTAGAAAGTTTTAGTCGAAACAATTAAAATGACATCATAATAAAAATATATAAACCATATAAAAATAATATCTTGAGGACAGTAAAATGAAAGTTTAAGAAACATAAAATACAATAAAAAAAAATTAAAGAATGAATAAAATGTAAAAAAAGAGACATTTCTGATGTTTTAGAAGAAATTTAAGTTTTATTTTAAGATTATATTGGTAAGAAATAAGTTTATTACACCTTTTCCATCCTGTTTGATGGGGTAGAGATGAAACATGCATGTTCCACTCTGCTCATGTCTGTTCCATATAAAAGTCATGCCACAATGGAACATGGATCCCTATTCTATTTGTCATGCCTTGTCCAATATACCAAACACATCCTTAAAACCAACCATGAAAATTGTTCCAAAAATTCAACGATGTTTTCCTTAGGGGTGTATGCGGGTTGGGTTGGGCGGTTTACAACATTTTTATAACCCAACCCAATTATGGCGGTTTGGAAAAATCTCAACCCAACCCAACCCATTCAAAAGTATAACCCAACTCAATCCAACCCAACTATTACGGGTTGAGGCGGGTTGGGTTGGATTGGGTTGGCGGGTTAGTAGTTACCTAAAATTTGACGAATGAAATAATTCATAAAACTTACGTTTATAGGCCATACTATAAAGCGTTTTCAATCTACAAATGTTACAATATGTTTATAGGACGTCTTAACAAGTGTTTTAGAATGATCTTTAAATAGAATGTCGTATTAATTATTTTATAGAAATATTTTGAGAAATATCCCGAAAACTCATCTATTTATAGGACACCTATGTTCATATGACACTTTTTCAAGTCGTGTCGTATAAAATAGCTAATACGACATTTTATTTTAAAAGCGTCATAGAATTTGTTAAGACGCTCAAAATCATCCTATGAACATATTGTAACTCTTTTAGATAAAATATTTTTCTTATTTCGTTCTATAAAGTTTCATATTAGAACGCTTAGACATTCTAAGCATCCTATAAAATCTAATGTTGTTGTAGCAAAATGTTATAAATAAGCATTTTTTCCCACAAAAGTACAATATAAAATGACGGGGTATTTACATTGATGAATTCGTCAACCAAATATCTATCAATATCATTTATATTCTCCGACATATCAATTTGTTGTTACTGCAAAAAAGATTTCAATAATTTTCTCTTATTAATTAGATTATTTGTCATCATTCTTTGATTGTGAATCTTTTTTGGTAACCTATACGTTTAACTAAAATGAAATACAAACATAATATCAATAGAGTATATAAAATTTATCTTAATATATATATATACACACACATAATAAACACATATATATATATATACTAGAAGCGTACTCGCGCAATGCAGCGAGATACATCATGATTTTAATATTTCATTTTATTATTTATCTCAGTCGA